AAATGTTAGTATTAAAGTAGACATGGTACCATTCATGGGAAGTGGAGTTTTTGGGTGATTGATATATTCTTAAAAGTATAGCCAACTTCTTACTTTAAAATCACCGAACTAATATCAATTTTAGGTTTCGTAGTTCTTTCAATACTAGGTGGCAACTCTAAAATATGGCTTAACTTTTATCCTTAGTAAATAATCTTTAATAAGTTCAATGCTTTTTGATGGAGTTGAAAGGATGAGTTTAGAATTTAATTTTGATAGAGTATTTGAGGCAAATACTAGTCTCGGTGTGCACAAGTTGATTGTTTGTTGATTTAATTTCAATATTTATATGATGAGTATTTGTTAATTAGGAAAGGTACAATTTATATGAGAAATTTACAGGAGAGACTCGTTGAAATTTTATTATACCGAGTGAATTGGACGGATCCGATTGTGGTGTCGGTGGTCTTGGCTCGATGGTGACGGTGTTCGTGGTCATGGCACTAATACCGACGGTGTTCATGACCATGCCACAAATAGTGGCACCGTACGTGGACGTGGCACTACCAGTGCAAGTGTTTGAGATTGTGGACTTGATAGTGGTGTCAATTCATCGGCATCCCCTTTAGTAGTTTTCTCACAAGTAAGGCCCTACCAGGTAGTGCCCTTGACTACGAAGGTCCCAATAAAGGTTTTCTCAACTCTATAAAGTTCTATTAGTTCGATAACATATAGATCATTCATGTTATGAATAATTAGTAACTAATATGCTTTATATATGATAATTAGTTTTCTATTTTCATATATTATATTAAAGTTATTAATTTACTTATTATTTATTTATTTATTTTATTCAACGAGCTTTGTTCTATCAAGTAAGTGATTTATAAAAATCATCGTAATTTTTAAGGAACGATTGGACGTAATCGGCTTCACATGTAAATTTGTCTCCATGAAGACGAAAGACTTCTACTTTAATTAGTTTAGGATAACATATTAATTATTTATTTATATTTTATTTAAAGTATTAAATTAAAATAAAATGTACTAGTAAAAGTTCTTTTTATGGGATGTGGGAGGCGACATGCTTGGTTAAAGAGGTGTGGGATAGACAATGACATGTTGAACAAGCCAAACAATAAGCCTAATAGATCCGTGTATGTTAAACGAGTAGGTGTGGAAAAGCATGGCACCAAGATCTAGCCACACTTGAGTATTAGGCCCAATCTCGGCATGCATCTTGAAACTACAAGTCGGAGATAGATGGTGCCAACGTTGGCCTATTCAAGCATACGATGGGGAGTCTATCTCTTTGATTGAACACGCCGAATGTTTGATAAATTATATTATCCATTGTGTTATAAATTGATTTTTGTATTTATTACATCTCCTATTATTTTATCTATTTTTTTCAACATAATAAATTGGGTTGTAACCCAAATTCTTATGAGTTGTTCGTATCCACCCATAAGCGTAAAGGTAGGTCATTCATCGATAGGCGATCCTAGATAACAATGGTAAGTTTTTTTTTTTTTTGTGAATATGAATCTATCAATATAATCTAAAAATATATATTTATGATTTAATATTATAATTATTTTAATGACGTAAGAGCGTGTGAAGTCAATGCAAGAAATAGGCTGCTAAAGAGCAATAAGAGAGTGATTCATCATCTTCAAACATCAACACGACCAAAATATATTTGGATGTTGTTAAAGGGAACAAGAAGCAGAGAGTATACAACCGTGGATGACAAGCATCCCAATTTTAATTCCATTTTGATGCCAACTCCTCCTTTACCACTTCACGGTATCCTAGTTGTAATATTCAAAAGGTCTTTGCCCAGTATGAAGATAGGATCAAAGGGATAGAACTTATAATCTTGAAACAGATTAATCAATTCAACACTATATAGAGTCATATGCAAATAGCGATGGGGATATTACGAGACTCGAAGCAAACTTGTGTTTCTTCGTTGACCTCTCACAACCCACAAGTCAAACATGGATTAGCGACAAAGATCAAACCTCTTTACGAAGGACATATATACGATCACTAAATAACGATGGATTTGTAAGAAATTTTTGTGAGTATGATTTAGTGATGACATAGCGATAATTTTACGATAGATAATAGATCAAAAAAATGAATCTTTACTTTAATTTAGCAATAAAAGTTCTACAAATTAGTGATAGTTTAGCCGTCATTGATCAATAATAGAAAAAAAAATATGTTGCTAAAAAAATGATGACAACCATATATGCTATTGAAATTATATTATCGCAAATTCATTGCTAAGGTTAAATAGTGATGGAAATGGATGACATAGCGATGGAAGGATCCATTGCTATTTTCAATTTTCTTGTAGTGAGAATTTACAACTATAAAATATTGAGATCAAAGATTTAAAGTCATTTCATTTACACATTTAAAACTCATTACGAGTGTAATAGCCACAATATAATCGAGTATTGAATGACCACAAGTCTTGTCTCATATCCATCCTACCACGTAGTTAGTATGGGTTTTAGAATCTCATAATCGTCTTATGCTCTATTAGATTGATCATTGGATGATAAATGAGCATAATTCAGTTAGTTACAAAACAAATATTGATAAATTGACATCTAACATATAAATAATTTAAGTGAAATACACAAAGGGTCTAATCTCAAAATTCACTTTCAAAAAACTTAAAGTACATTGAAATAATTAACATAATATTTAATTTTTTTGTACGACACTTAATAAAAAAATATTCAATATGAATCTTATTCTAAAGCTTATAACATGAACTTTCATTTGGTTTAAATAAGAATAAAAATAAATAAATAAATTATGAGATATTTTTCTTAAACTTTTTAGTTAATAGAAACTCCTTATTGGCCAGATACTGTCCCGAGGATTATCTCAGCCGCGTAACCGAACAAGATTGGACTAGAAAGTCCACTGTGTACTAACAAAAGCATCCTTACATTTGTTTTGTTTGTGGTTGCCCACTTTTTATTTTTTTATTTTTTTATTCTATCGTATAAAGATTCAATTAATTTTTTATTATTTTATTGTACTTACAAATCAAAAACTGTTTATTTTATTAGATGTTCAAATCAGAAACAATTGTTTAGAGATTTTTTTCACTTACACTCTTTAGGTTTTGGTTAAAAAATAAAAGCACGAAAACAAGGGGCACAAAGGAATTAAGATACAAGGAGATTAATTGTTCAATGTGACATGAGAAAACGTGGTCTTTAATGTTAATTCCTTTTATTGTGATCCACATCTATTAGAGAGATTATTGATTGGGCCATAGCCTAATTCATGCTTAACTAAACAATCGGAAAGATATCAATGTTATAAAATAAATAAAAATGATAGGAGAATTGAAGAAAAGGATGACAAGAAAATGAAATCACTATAATGTGAATATGAGTGATAAGAACTTCAAAGTTTCTCTTATTCTCTCTAGGAAAATTGTACACCAACTAATGAACAATCAAGCCTATTTATAGGCTTCAAAATTGAAGAGAGAATTAGAAGGGACTATGAATAATCAATTGTATCACCCTTTCAATTTCTCATATTGAATGATGAATTGAATCACATTAAGAACCATGAGTAGTGGGGATATGAAAAGTGGATGAACATGATGATGGACATTCATTATTTCATAACAATCAATGAGTTTTTCTTTCTTTTTCTTTTTTACAATGAACATATTTTCGAAAGGTCAATTAAAATTAAATTATTTTTCTAAATAATTTTAATATTGTACCTTTTAATTACATCAACATGATACATTTACAAAATAATTAAAAAAAAATTAAGATCTCTTCAGGAGGAGAATCATGTCAGTTTAGCTACAAATTAATTCATTACACTAATGATCTAGCCATAAGCCATATATTAGTGGTGCCCCCAAAAAATCAATGACCGATTAAATTACTTTTATATCTTGAAGAGCACTTCATCAGTATTGTAGCATGGTCTATGTCTATGTCATGTCAATAGAGGTTATGTAATTGAAGGCCTAATAGGACTTTCTCACATGGAATTTTTAGAGGACAACGCACCTACAAAACAAAGGAATGCCGAGAGGGTGTGGGGAGTTGGTGGATCCAAGATCCTAAATTGACTTTAACTGGCGATTGTTAGATCTCGCCATAAGGTTCGAAGAATATCTTCTCGCTGAGGTTTAAGTACCATAAGATTGATGATTGTGATAACCAACTAAATTACCATTTAAAATGTGCAATTCACTCTCACGTTCACAGCTTAATCTACAAAAACAATTAGTTGGCTGTCTAACAAGCACCCAATTATTACGATTTTGGTTTGATTATGACCAGTATTACTGTACACTTCTTCCCTCTCCACTGAAATCCTAGTCCTCTGATTCATAAATTAAACCAGAAAAGAAGATATTAAGAAGAAACGTTGATGGTTTTGGCACAATGAGAGAAGAGCTGATACCAGCTAATTGCCAGCCAGACGCCCCTAATGCGTGTGCGCTCATTGTCAAAACTCTCCTTTTATCAAAAGTACTAGTAGCCTCAACTGATCAACTATCACTTTCCACTTTGATCTTTCAAAGACTAGAACCCTAGCTAACAATTACCAGCATTACACACTTGGAGTGCCACAATTTTGAGTTGACCCCCCACGAAATCCCCACGCATTTGCCTTTACAACAAAAATCTACATAAAATCGAACATGTATATATTCCTTCTTCCTTATACCTACCCACCCATAACCTCTAAATTATTTCCTTGTAGTCCTTGTACTTCAAACACAAATATATCTCATCCACCAATATTATATATACATGGCTGACCCCAACACATCCACTAATGTACCCCAAATAAAACAAACTCAGCCACCATTAGCATTACATTTTGACCCTCATTTTCCTAGTGTAGTGAACCCACTTGTCCCTGTATCGTCACAATCTATCCCTACAAACACAATATGTGAAAATCCATCTCCAAAAGATCCTCCTCCTCAACATTCTAAGCCCCCAACCATGGCCACAACTTCTTCCAGCTCCAAAAGGCACCCAATGTATCGCGGAATCCGGTGCCGTGGTGGCAAGTGGGTGTCTGAAATCCGGGAGCCACGCAAAACCACTCGTATTTGGCTTGGCACATTCCCAAAGCCGGAGATGGCAGCAGCCGCCTATGATGTGGCAGCCCTAGCCCTAAAAGGTGATGAAGCAGTTCTTAATTTCCCAAGTTCTGTGGGGACTTATCCTGTGCCTGCTTCAGCATCATCCGTTGATATTCGTAATGCAGCTACTGCTGCTGCTGCATTAAAAGAAGCTGAACTAAGCTACAATGAAGCATTAGTTGACCAACATAGAAATGACCACCCCATTGGGGCGTATTTGGGATCAAGTGGAGAAGAATTTGTCGATGAGGAGGCACTGTTTGATATGCCGAATTTTCTGGTGGACATGGCAGGAGGAATGCTGCTTTCACCACCAAGAATAACTTCGCCGCCATCTGATGGCTCACAGGGAACTTCGGATGGTGAAAGTCTGTGGAGCTATTTTTAATATTGCTCCTTACTATAAATCCTTACAACTTCATGAATGGATTAACAGGATTAAGAAAGAAACTAGTGGGCATGGCAGTCATTGCTGTGACTTTTTTGTGAACAATTTTGCCTGTCCTGAGCAATAGAAATGATGGAGGTTAGGATGTGAAACGGAAACAGGATAAAAGATATATCAAACAGTGAACCAGTGATCACGTACGTAGTGTGTTTTTGAATTTGAGATAGAGAACAGTAAGTTAGGGTTGCATTTCTTTCCATGTGAGTGCATTGTATAATAGTCTAGCTAGCTTGTAAACTATTTTTTGGCTTTGCTTTTTAAGATTGTATGCGATAAGCTCTCATGCGTGCTCACTAAATTTCTTGTCTCTTCTTTTTCATTAATTTCGTTTTCCTGCCCTTCCTTTTCTTTTTGAATTTGTTATCTGAGTCAATGATATGTACCACAATTCCTTTTTTTTTTTTTTTAACACTATCCTTCATTGAAAAAGAACAACACAGGTTAGTAAGTAGTTGTAGAAGGATTCTATTTTGTTGTTAGACGTAACTTATTATGCTGAGACAAATTAAGGTGGTTGATCACTAACAATGAGCCTACATTTTGAAATTAGCCATTTAATTTGTTTATCAATCCTAAAATCCAAACATCTTAATTACTCTCAAATTAAGCAAAGCATAACAAAGAAAATGCTGCTTCTTTAATCATGTCTATCACAAGCCAATGCATAAATCCATCCTTTATGTCCTTTTTGAGATTGTGAGTCAAAACCATGCGGGCCCCCTTTTCTCAAGACAATGTCAAATTGTGTGTGATGAAAGATTGAGAGAAAGCAAAAAAGATTGGAGAATTGCATTTTTGGGTCATGATGAGAGAAAAGGGATGTCTCTTTGATTGAATGGTTACCATCATCATGTTACCATGAACAGTACTCTCTCTTTCCCTTTTCACCTTCTCTTTTAGCTGCATTTTCATGAACATAGCCAGGTTTCACTAAATACAGTACACCTTGAACTAATTTTCTTCGATCATATTGCTTACTAATTAAGTTGCATTAGTAAGTTTTCAGCATTTTTTTTAACAATATTTGTAGGTCGAAAAACAATATTAAATTATATATATATATATATGGATGATTTTCATATGAAAGTATCAAAACAAGACAAAAGATATGTATACACATAAAAAATAAAAATAAAAAAAGTCGCACCATGCCACCAAGCATGCATTAAATAAATACCTCTTACACTATATCAAAATTGTGTTATAGAGGCGGAATTATTAAGGCAGTTATCTTAACTGCCCAAAAGAAGCACTGGTTGTTTTTTTTAAAAAAGAAATTATGGGGCAGTTAGTAAAACTGTCCCAACTTTAAAAGTTTAATATTTTATATTTTTTTCTATTTTGATTCTGAAAAGAGAAATAAAAACCTCATGCTCTCTCGCCCCTCACTTTAACACAAGAACTTTTTTTAGGTTATTTTTCCTCCCATCCAACCCCTATCAACAACAAACTGCCTCTATCCATTGAAAATGAAATTTGGATTTTCCATCTCTTATCCTTCAACATTAATAAACAGCCCCATTCCCTTGAATCTTCTCTTTCACCAACAACTCGTCCCCTTCCCTTGAATTTCTCCTTCAACAATAAACCATCCTTTCCCTAGGCAAAGAAATTAGGATTTTCATCTTCTCCATCAATAACAAAGAATTCGAGTTTTTTATCTTCCCCTCTAACCCCCAAAAATTAGGTTTTTTTTTTTTTTTTTTTTTATCTTCTCCTTCCGCCCCTTTTCCTTGACAAAAGCAATGCTATGAAGTTCAATTGCATACCTAGACTCATTGATTCTTGAGCAAGAAGGTCTTCAAACAGTGGGTTTTCAAAATTTATGTAATAATCTCATAAGTGATATAATCTTGTTTATATGAGAGTCCTATATTGTTTTTCTTAATTTTTATCGATTTTTGGGATTTTTTCTATCAATATTAACAATTCATATCAAGGTATATCTACTTTGGTCAAAGAAGAAATGGATCTACTCAAGATTGTTACTTCAAATTTGTATTTGTCACTTGAAAATGCTTCAATTAGTTTGAACTATTCTATTTTTGTTTGTTATGCCATTTCCCATATTTTACTATCTAACTAATTTAATTTTTCCAAGTTCTTCTTGATTGGATAATTAGATTTGATATACTAAACCCTTTTTTGCATGTCATTATTTAACGAGTTCAATCATGGTCACCGGACTTTCGAGCATAAAAAATGAGGATTACCGAGGTGATAGTTTGGGTTTATTTCTTGAATCTTCCAATCGAGCTGGCACCATCCTCGAATTCTATGTACAATGAGAGATATAATTGGTAAGACGAGTCTATATTAATCTTAATACGGAAACTAAATTTGCACGCATAGTTGTTGACATTGATTTGCTCTAACCCCTTCAAGCTCACATTCGGATTGACGATATTGTGCAAAAAATTACCTATGAAGGTTTACTACAAATATGCTACACATAAGGTCGGGTAGGACACAATAATTTCTTTTTTCCATAAAAAAATCCAACAACCAAGCTTCTATGGATGAAGGTGTCTCGAGTGGTAGCAACATACCTCTTATCATAATCGGGTACACTCGACAATGACGAACCCTATTTCGGATCATGGAGCGTTTGGTCCTTGGATTGATTTTCACACATTTAAGAGAGACGGTTGAGAGTAGTTAATTGCTAACTATTGATTTTCATGGGACATATGATGTAATTATGTGAATGTGTTTCCATTGTCTTATGTATGATCTTTTGCAATCATTTTTTTGGTAAACAATTTCATTTTCTTCGTTAAAGTTTCACCTACAATGAAAATCTTATCCTATGTTTTTTCACATTACCGATTATGAAAATCTCAAGTTAAAATAGGAAACCTAGTAAAGTTTACCAACTAGGAGCAAGGTTTTTTAGTATAGGAGGAATTAAAGTATATTAGTTCTAACTTCATTCTATTTGTGTTATTATAGGTCTTAAGTATGAATGATGCAAGCATTTTGGATGAAATTTTTCATGTTGTTTCAATATGTTAATTCTATGTATAATTTTAGTTTTGGTAGATGTTTGGAATTGTGCTTTCGGATCCGATAGTTTTTGTTTTTAATTACTAGCTCTGCTATCTTGTAGTTTATACAAAAACTTTACTTGTTTAGAAATTAATTATTATCATTAATGAATTTTAGTTTTAATTTTTAGTCATTAGTAAGTTAATTGAATAAATTTTGTTACTAATTGGTATTTGGTTATATATTGTAGATGCAAATAGGTTGATTGGTAGGAGATTTACCGATGCTTCAATCCGAGTATATTAAGCTCTAGCCATTCGGGGTCATTGTTGGTCCTAGTGACAAGCCAATGATTGTGGTTACCTATAAGGGTGAGGAGAAATAATTTGCAGTCGTGGAGATTTCATCTATGGTTCTCATTAAGATGTGTGAGATTGTCGAAGCTTACCTTGGCTCCATCGTCGAGAATGTTATGGCTATGGTCCTTGCTTACTTCAATCACTCTCAAAGACAGAGCCACAAAGGATGCTCGGTGTTATTGCTAGTTTGAATGTTATGTGTATTATCAATGAGCTTACTATTGTCGGCATTGCTTATGGATTTGACAAGAAGGCAACCAGCTTTTGTGAGAAGAATGTGCTAATTTTTTATTTGGGTGATGGTACGTACTTTTGATGTCTCTTTTCTTACCATTGAGGAGAGTATCTTTGAAGTGAAATCCATTGCTAGAGAAACCCATCTTAGAGGTGAGGATTTTGATAATAGAATTGTGAACCACTTTGTTCAAGAATTTGAGAAGAAGAATAAAAAGGATATTAGTGGAAATCCTGAGAGCACTTAGGAGGTTGAGAACTGCTTGTGAGAGGGTGAAGAGGACTCTCTCATCTACTACTCGGATGACCATTGAGATTGATTCCCTATTTGGGGGTATTGACTTTTGATACATTAGCTACTTATTTTAAACATATCCAAAACTTTGTTTATGCATACTTTGTTTATGTATTTTGAACAAGCTTTTAATACTTTTTTTCCTTGTGGATGTTTGAAAAATTTTTATGTATTTAGAATTTGATAATGACAAATTTAAGAATATCATATAAGCTATATAATTTTTCTTTTATTTACATTCAACAAGATGTACTTTTTTAAAATTTATTTTTTTGACCAAATAATTGAATTTAAAGACATAATAAAACTAAATTTTAAATGCCATTACACAAATTTGAGGTGAGGCGGGTTGAAACTATCCCTATTAATTTAAAACAAAAAATCCAAATACGTAGAGACGGTTTATAATCGCCTCAAAAATTATGCATAAAAAAATAAAAAAACCACAATTGGCATTGTAGAACCGCCTCAAAAAATTTAGTTTGAGGTGGTTCTAACCGCCTTCAAGAACCCACCTCACAATTCCTTAGCGGTTGCCAAAATTGCCTCTACAAGGTGTAGAGACGGCAACATTGTAAGTGGTTTTAAGGTGATTTTATACAAATTGTAGAGGCGGTTATTACCGCCTTTAAAAGTGAAAAAAGCTGTCTGCAATGCCTGTTTTTGGTGTAGTGTTAGGACCTTTCTATTCTTTACCAAACGCATACTTCATACCAAATTGATATACATTCACATCTAAACATCCCTCGGGAACTCGCATTTCAATTCTTTACCAAACCAATCCTTTGTTAATAAATACCCTTTGATCATTAAACGCTCATCGATTTATATTTGTGATTTCTATGTTTTGTAATCTTAAATAAAATAAAAATAAAAACTTAGAATACTTGTTTATCACGAGCTCTAATCAAAAGCCATACGTAAAAAAAATTATGATCATTTCTTAATCTATCACTCTATTCGGGAAAAAAAAATGTAATACAATAAATAAAGCTCAATCAAATCAAAATAATGGAGTGAATCAATCTCAATCAATCGAGTAAATCAAACTCAATCAAATCAAAACCATAGCGTCAATCAAGGTCAATCAAATTAGAATCATAAGTTTGATTGAAATTCAATTCATATAAATTAAGAACAAGATCTTTACATTTATCATCACTCAATTTTAACCCTTTTAAAAAAAATCAAGCCTAGACGACCCAAGAGTGCTAGGCCAAGCCCGCACGTTCAAGGCCTCGACGATTAGGCCCAAGCTTGTCTATTCAGTCCAAATGACCAAATTAGAATAGGAAAAAATTCTTAAATTGACCTAGGATTTCTTATAAATACATACTCTCTCACTCCCACTCGGACACACGCTACCGTCCGAAAAAAAAATGCTAGAAACCAAAAAAAAAAAAAAAAAGCAAAGTAGAAGTTGAGGAAAATATCATCGCCACTCACCCCCAATTACTTATCCGAGAACACACATTGTTCGAACACATAGTCTAGAAGAGAATATCAGAAGAATGCCAAAATAAAGAAATTTTAAACATCAAGCAACACTCACGCGCCTCTTGTTTTTCCGTTGTTCTTATGGAGCCTTTGTCTAGTTTTGTCCCTAAACTTCGACTTCAATGTATTTTGATTTAATTTTCATCTAAGTTCAATGTGTTGGATGATTATTTCATTAATTCATGTTCTAGTGATATTAATTAAGTAATTAGTATAATATTTAGATGGTTATTAAATCAAAACATCTTTGTTAAAAGGTGTGGTTGAAAAGATTGAAATTTAGAATACCTTATGATTATTTACATATGGATCAAAATTCAAGTTCTTTGTGATGTTTGTGTGCTTTAAAATTTAATATGATTAGGTTAGGATTCTTTATGAGTGAATTTGAATTATACTTTATTGGTCATAAATTATCTTGTTTTAGCATGTTTATATATTTTTAGTTAATTAATTAATTATTTTAAGTTCTTTTTGTATTTAACTAATATCTTATACGTTTTTATTATTTTGAAGGCTTTTAAATGAATATTTAGGCTAATTTAAGAATTTCAATAATTTGGCGAGCTTATTCCTATTTGGGCTCGAATTTTGGATTCGTTGTAGTTTGAATACTGCTTGGTGTTTAAGACATAACTGGAACTACAAACCTTGGATTAAGGCATTTTTAAAATATCTAGAAAAGGTAAGAGACGAGGCCTATACGTTTTGTGAATGAACCAAATCCTAACAAATACGTTTTCATGCTATAAATTAGATTGAAACTTAGATGTGTGAATCTATTACACACATGGAAACAAATTAGCATAATGTTTAGGATGTCGAGTCTAAAGAATTAGGTTTCTAGATGGAGCCTATTTAAGAAAAGAGGCATCCATGAACTAGAAAAGATTCAAAGAGCATTTGAGATACGAAATATGAAAAAATACAAAAAATACAAAATAGAAGACAAAAGAGAACCTAAGGCGGACTTAAAGATTTTAACTCCTATACGTTCTTTTTCTTTCTACTCTTTTGTACATCCATCTATTTTAGTATTTTGAATATAATGTATAATGTCTTAGGTTTATTCAATGATTATTTTGAATATTTTGTTCTCAATAAGTTGTTAGTTTTATTATTTTATGACTAGGATGTAGTTACTAGATTTTTTATAGTGATTTGAAAACATGGTTGATTGATTAAATCTATTAATGAAATTTGATGATTTTGGTTTTCAATCTTATAACTAACTAGCTATTATTTATATAATTAAAGAATTAAATGATGGAAGTGAAAGTTTAATTTTAGTTCTTAAAAGCATCAAATCTTGGCGGTATTGTTTAGAAATAAAAACATACTATTGTGACCTAATTGATAATTTTCGTCGAGCTTAATGAACTTGTGTTAAAATCAATAATCACGAAAGTAGATGTAGAATTAAAATAAGTATAGTTGTTGAGTCTTGAAAGAGATCATCACGTATATTAGAAAAATTAATCATTGCCATTAACAAGAATTGATTCACTTAACTCGAGTTTGAATTCATTGTAAGAATTTAGTTAACAAAATATGAGTCCTAGAACTTCTTTATATCATTGTTAGTTGATTTATTTATTAATTTTTAAATTAATCTTTTTTAAATTGAGTCATTTAGATAATAGGAGAATTAAACAGATTGGTACTTGAATTTCTTTTTTATGGAAACGATATCCGACTTACCATATTCTAAATTCTTACGATATATACAATTGTGATAGATTTTAGTATAGTCAAGTTTTCGGCATTATTTCCGAGAGAGAATTTTTAATGTAAAAAAAAATAAGTTCCTTTATTAATTTAGATTACATTCTGTTTCTTTTTAGTTTTTACTTGTGTTTTGTTTTTACATCAAATCTATATAAGTTTACATCAAATCTGTGTAAGTTTAGTTATATATATATATATTTGTTTTCTTTTATTCTATTTAATACTTATTTAATTATTTATTATTATGTTTTTTTTAAAAAAAAAGTGGGTATGTTTGGTTAGTTTTTTTATTTTTATTTTTATTCGAGTGTTTTGAGTTTTTTTGGTGTTTACGATAAAATTATATTTTTACTATTCACTTTTAGATTTTATAGAATTAATTGTTAAGGCCATATCTATTTTGAAGGAAATAACGTTCTAAACAAAACTAAAACTTTTCCATTAGCTCCACCCTCATGTTCACATTTTGCAGAATGTTTTAAGGTTAATTATCGCACAATTTGCTTAGAATTATGTATAAAAATATAAACTAGAGAATGTATGTTTAGTTTGTCTTTGTTTGATATTGTTTTGTTCTAAGTTGAAGATTTTATATTTGATTGATAGGTACTTTGAGTGTGATGAGCAATTCTAAATATTCTTGTTGTCGTTTATTTTGATATAATCTTTATTTTGCATGAGGACAAGTAAATATTCGAGGCTTAGGAGTGTTTGATGTGTGAATTACTTTATGCTTTCTTGATCATAGATTGTCTTATATTAATGTTTTACAAATTTTTAATTAATTATTTAAGTGTTTTAAGTTATTTTTCTATTTAATTAACCTTCGACAATTTCTATTATTTTGAAGGCTTTTAAATGAATATTTAAGTTGATTTAAGAAAGCCAATAATTGGGCAATGCTTATTTCTATTTGAGCTCGGATTTTGGATTTGTCACAATTTGAGCATTTCTTGGTGTTTGGGCCATAACTAAAGCTAAAGACCCCGGATTGGGGAGTTGTGGACTCTTTAAAAATCTAAGAGATCGAAAGGAACCAAACCTAACATAGATATTTTCTTTCTCTAAATTAGGCTAGAAGTCGGATGCATGAATCTATTATAGATATGCAAATAAATTAGGCTGATTTTTAGGATGTGGAGTCTAAAGAATTAGATTTTTAGAGGGAGCCTATTTAAGAAAAAAGCGAGTCATGAAGTAAAGGAGAGTCAAAGAGCATTAGAGCTACGGAATACAAATGAATAAAAAGAATACAAAAGAGAAGATAAAAGAAAACCTAAGGTAGACTTGAAGATTTCATATCCTATAAGTTTTTTTTTCTTCTACTCTTTTGTCTATCGATTTATTTTAGTACTTTCAATAGAATGTATTATGGTTATTCAATGATTACTTTGATTATTTTTCTATCAATGAGTTGCTAGTTTTGTTATTCTAAGATTAAGATGTAGAGATTTCTTATGATGATTTGAACATGTGATTGTTTAATCAATTCTATTAATACAATTTAATGATTTTGATTTTCAATCTTATAATTAACTAGTCATTATTTGCATGTTTAAGGAATTAAATAACGGAGCAAAAGTGGAAGTTTAATTTAGTTTGTGAAAGCATAAAATCTTGGTAGTGTTCTTTAGAAATTAAAAACATATCGAGTATGATCTAATTGATAATTTTCATTGAGCATAATGAGGTTGTGTTAAAATCTACAATCACGAAAGTAGATGTAGA